TAAGGTGTGTGCCACCACCACCTGGCCCCAAGTAAACTTCTTAAAAATATTTTATTTTTTATTCTATTTTAAGTTATGTGTGTATCCTGTGTCTCTGTATAGGGCTATGCATGCGAATGTATTGCCTGTGGAGGCCAGAAGAGATCTTTGGGTGTGGAGAGGGAGTTACAGGTGGCCTGTGTTACCTGATGTGGGTGCTGGGAACCGAACCAAGGAGCTCTGGAAGAGCAGAAAAATGCTCTTAACCACTGAGCCATCTCTCCAGCCCAAAGATTTTATTTTTTGTTTTGGTTTTTCAAGACGGGGTTTCTCTGTGTAGCTTTGGAGCCTGTCCTGGAACTCACTCTGTAGACCAGCCTGGCCTTGAACTCACAGAGATCAGCCTGACTCTGCCTCCTGAGTGCTGGGATTAAAAGTGTGTTCCACCACTGCCTGGCTAAAGATTTTTATTTTTTAATTTAAATTTTAAATTATGTGTATCATATGTGTCTATATGGATGGGTATGTGAACATAACTGCAGATGCCATCCAAGGCCAGAAGAGGGTGTTGTATCCCCTGAAGCTGGAGTTCTAAGTGGTTGTGAGCTGCCTGATGTGGGTGCTGGGAACTGAACCCAGGTCCTCTGGAACAGCATTGAGATTTCTTAACCTCTGAGCCATCTGCCCAGCCCCTCAAGTTGTTCTTAAAGTCCTATCCCATCCTAGGCACAGCCTCTTGCCAGGAGGAAGGGTTCTGTACTCTACTGCTGCTTACTGGGGGTCTCTGGGGCATCTTGAAGTGAGAATTTGAGAGGAAATTAGAGCCCAAAGTCAAGCAACTTGGGCTGGAGAGATGGTTCAGGGGTCAAGAGCTGGCTTCCATTCCTAGCACCCACATAGTGGCTCACAACTGTCTGTACCTCCAGCTCCAGGGGATCCAATGCCCTCTTCTGGCTTCCAGGGCCACCAGATACACACATGGTACACAGACTTGCAGGCAAAACACCCACACACATTAAAAAAAAAAAAAAAAAAAGTTGAGCAACTGCTATTTTCCCTCCATCCTCCCCGGATATTCCTTCCATCCTCGAAGACCCCCCTATCCCTCCACCACGTTTTCTCCTCTCTTCTCAGAGTGAACCCCCTCCCCCAGCCTGCCTCCTAGAAAGATCTGGGGATCTCATTAAGAGGGAGCTAAGGCTCAGACTTCAGGTCTTTCCGGTGAAGAGGCCTTCCTTTCCAAACCTCCCTGGACATGAAGAGAAACAGCTGGCTGGGATTGCAGGGCGGTCCAGAAAATAAAACAATTCTCTTTCCGGGCCAGTGTTGCCAGGACTTCCTGAGGCTGATCTGGCTCCCTGGGCCACTGCAGGAGGTCTGGCTGTTCACCTCATGCCTCTGGCTGGCTGGGTGTCCTCAGCAAGTTTCTGGGCCTCTCTGAACTGTGGGTGAGTGCAAGGCTTGAGTTGGATAGCCTGGGAGGTGCCACCTACCCACCCCAGCACAGGTGAGTCATAGAGGGGTCACTACTGGCTACAGATCCACAAACCACACGAACTACGTGTGTGTGTGTGTGTGTGTGTGTGTGTGTGTGTGTGTGTGTGTGTGTACACATGAGTGCTAACGTCTGTTACAGGGGGTTTTGAATAGCAGATGTAGTGGCTGAGAACCAAACTCAGGTCCTCTGCAAGAGCAGGAAGTGCTCTTACTTGCTGAGCCGTCTCTCCAGCACTCCTGCTTTCCCCCTTTTTAGACAGAGTGTCACAATATAGCCCAGGTTAGACTGGAACTCACTGTGTAGCCTAGGCTAGCCTGGAACTCATGAGATCCTCCTGCCTCTGCTGGGATTAAAGACCTGTAGCACCATGCCTGACTGGCTTCACTTTATTTTTTTCGTTGAGACAGGGTTTCTCTGTGTATATATAGTCCTGGATGTTCTGGAACTTTTTTTGTAGTACAGGCTGGCCTTGAACTCTTGGAGATCCACCTGCCTCTGCTTCTCAAGTGCTGGGATTAAAGTCATACACCACCACTTCCCTACTTGGCTTCACATATTTTGTATGTGGTGTGTGTGTGTGTGTGTGTGTGTGTGTGTGTGT